ACTCAAGAACAAAACCCTGCTAGAAAATAACTACTAATACAAACAAACTAAAAATAAACTTAAAGAGAGGGTAAAACCCTGGAAAAAAAAAACAATAAATAGTGGATAATAGAAAAGAGTAAAGTAGTCATCAGCAGATTAGATTTTGTTATTTCCTTTGTCTTGTATGTCTGTTACTGGAGGCAGAAAAAATCCACACATTGTTCTGGGTTTTATTTTTACTCATTTCCTTTATACTCTATGTTCTACCAAAGCTTATTTACTAATTTACAGACATTATTCCTCTGGATTGTGGTTGTTTAACAGCTACCTGCTGGTGACTGGACTGACAAACATGATGATGTAATTTCTTCTGGTGCAGAAAGAATTTGGTTTAATAAAACGACAGTAAAGTTATCTTTACCCCAAATGGTAACATGCTAAGCTATACTCCCATCATTTCTGTTGCTTTCGCCTTTTGACATTTAGCTTGTTTGCTTGTTATCACTTCTGATGTTGTAGTTTTGTTTTTTCAGTCCAAAGTCTAACATTTAAAAATTCACATTCGTTCAAGTCATTTAATAACAAAGTAACATTTTGTTAAATGTAAACACTTTGACAAGGTCTGATATTTTTAAATCTATTTTAATCTCAACAGGTGAAGAACTGAACATTTGCTAATAAGATTATTAGTTTTTAGTGTTTCACCAATACCAGTATCGGGTGGGGCCGCAAAACTGCACTACAATGGTGGTATCGGCGAGTACCAACAAATAGGGCACCGATATTATTTTGTCCCATTCCAGGTAGGCAATAAAAAAGTTCTTCTGGATTCACTTTGTATTAGTCTTTTACCTGCTTCAAAAAGGTAGGCAGCAGCTTGACAAAGCCATGATGGCAATTATTTTACATTCAAGTAGTATGCAGTTCTTCATAGAAACACACATCATTTTCAAACTAATGGTATTGTTGGTATGGTATAGCTGCGCGGTGGAAAAGTGGCTCTGATGCGCGTTGGGCGGAGCTACCCTATCCTTTCTTTGCCTGGAACAATGGCAGCTATATTTGCTGTGATCAGCGGGTAAAAATTAGTTT